ATGAATTTAATTGAAAAATTGAAAAATTAAATATTAACTTTTATTTTTTCAATATAAATTTATGATAAAAATATGTATTAAATATATCCTTAACCTATATTTTAAGGATACATATTAGACAAATATTTTTTTAAGAGTCTTTTGTTTTGTAATTAAAATTGTAAAATGGGAACCTTAATATGAGAAGAGGGATCCCAATATTAAAAAATCATTCATCATAAGACTTCTATTTTATAATTTAGTATGGTTTGAATTATAAAATAATTTTCCATTCTTTTATATGTATATCTTTAGGAATAAAGGATTTGACAATATGTTAATATGTTGCCATATATTATTAAATATAACATCATAATTTCAATTGTTCTTTATCAATCAAATTAAAAAATTATATTAATGAAATACAAGGGATTCTTCATCCCAAACCATGTCTTAATGCATCAGCACAACTTCAAGCAAAAAATCTAACAAAAACATCAACATGAGTTGATTGTCATCTTTTGTGACTATAATTTCTTCTCTCTGAAATGCCTTTCGAGTTTCACGATAATCCTCAATAGAGGAACAACTTACAAGTGGTTGATGTAGAAGTGAATCCAAACATGAGACTTATTGTGTGATGAGTTTGGTAAATACTTCGGATGCTTTTACTTATAATCCAATTTGTTATGACCTTCGGCTGCAGATGGTTTTCTTCTGAATAAAAGGGGGAATATTGTTGTTCTAGTGTCCCTTTCAACTAAATTTTCAAGAGCCGAAAGGGACGACATTGCTGATATGCCCGATATTTATATACCCATAAGAAAATTCTAACCATAAAAACTAGAAAATTCTTTTGAGTCATTGAGGGTGTGGTTGCATGCATATATATAATTTCAACACCCATTATTTTTAATTTAAATAATTTTTATGCCTCTCATTTTGTCTTTTTGCCCAACTTTATGCCTCTCCTTTGGAAAAATCAAAAGAAACACACAAATTTGTATGCAATGACTAACGAGTGCATTCAATTATGTCTCGTTCAAAGGTGACACCCAAATCTTTCCTTTGAGACGAAAACAACACCCCCCACTTCTCTTTCCAGATCAAATGGGGTTCTCCTCATCTAGTCATGGAAGGGCTTCGTCGTAATGGATATTCATAAATAATTAAACCCCAGATATGGACATGGGTCCATGGATTCTCCTCTCCTTTGTGTACATATATTATCTCTCGAGTTCTATCCTTTGTATGATCTAAATATGCATGCATGCATACATTAATCTGATCCAAACAAAGTGTGCTTGACCATCTGAATTATGAGACAAATAGTGAGTTGTATCTTTGTGCATTTGTTCGGATCAGTAGACAGAATGTTTCACCATACTTGAAGCAACAGTGTTAGAGAACAAATAATGTCGATGGCACATCGTAGTCACGTATCTTCCCGACCAAACTGGATTAATTAATTAAGTTGAGATGAAAAGCATGCTTACTCCACTAATTATGTTTAGGTTCATGCATATATATATATATATATATCAATTAATCTAGAAGGAAATGTCATGGATGTTTCTAATTAGAAAAATTAAGAAATGGTAAAACTACAAGACAAAATAAGGAGGCAATTATTGATTTTGATTCGGAATTAATTAGTTAATCATTATGTGGATAAGAACTTTTGAGTACGTGACTAATTAAGATTAACCTTCTTCCGCGTCTTTGGTGATGTACATCTGACCATGCGGCCATGATTAAGATTAGGTGTGGACAGTGGACCAACGAAAATAAATCACATCAGTATATTAATTTAATGGTGTTTTTTTTTTTTTTATCTTGATTACACAATAAAGATAACACTTTCCCTTTATTACTTTACTCCACCCATATAATATGTAACTTAAATATCTTATTTTCAGTAAAAAAAAATTATTATTAAACTATTTAAGTCCTCTGGTAATTACGTATTTTAGATATATATGAACTTTGATCACGTGTTATTAATAATGTTTATTTTTAATTTGTTCCCCTTCCTAATTTTTCAATTACTGAAATAAAATTTTGATTTGCCATGACAATCTGAAAACTATGGTTCTCCTCCATGGGCTTCGAAATACTGAAGCTGGAACTTGAAATTTTGCTATATTTTCAAGTTCCAATAAATGGGCTGGACGCCTAGCACTCAAAACCCAAAAAGCCTTGCAGTGTCAAAATCCCGCAAAAACCTGTTACGTTTTTCTCTTTAGGAAGACATGAAATGGAAAATTTTCAGTTGGTGAAGACGTGAAGTGTATATGCTTTCTTATTTTTGAAAATGATATATGTACAATGTTTTTTTAGGTATAATAATTTATATAACATGATGTGGTACTTTGTGATTAATTGTTTTTATTTGGGGGTCATATATGAAATAATATGTATTTATTCATCTTGTGGGAGTCAAGACCTAAAATTTTTTTTATAAATGAATATGATCAATGTGGGTGTGCCCATGCACCCTTAAGATAACTTATGGATGGATTAATTTCCATATGCATGAAAGCTAATGTTGAAACACTCTCATTGTTCAAAAAAAAAAAAAGTATGCATCTATTCATTAATGTCACACTATATTGTATAAATCTTTTTTTCTTTTTCTTTTTCTTTTTTTTAAATTTAGCAATTAGAGTGCCCTTAAGTTAGCTTATGTCCACCTTAAGTTTAATTCCTCTTTAATTGGGTCAAAGGCAAGTAATTTATGCCAAAATTAAGAAATTTATAAGAAATTATTTCTTAATTGACATCCTTAAAGAATTAAACCTTAATTAACAAAATAAAAAGCAAACTCTTTGTCATTGTCAACTAAGTTGTATAAATCATTATACTAAAAAAAAACATTGTAGGTGTGACATAATCGTCTTACTTTTTGTATGAATAAGGCAAATTCTTCATAATTTCAAGAGCAGTGCACAGGGCACTCGCCTCTTGCACTCTCAAACCAGCACTTCCACTTTTATTGGGCCACGTTATCTTGATTGTGAGAGGTCGCATTTCACAGCTTGAAACGAGCTTAAGTGGCCCAATGAAAGTGGAAGTACTGGTAGGAGAGTGCAAGAGGCGAGGGCCCCTAGCACTGCTCTACTTTCAACGGAGTATTCGGGGTGAATCCTCTTTACCCTCCACATATAAACAAAAGAAAAAAAAAAAAATTTGTAGCGGACAATATGTTAGTGTTTTTTTCCAAGAGTTCTATTCACTTTGGCCCAATCTAGGATCCAGCCCGATTAGTATTTTGGGGCAGAGATGCAGAGGTAAGTTTGAGTCCATGTTTATTCTTTTTTCTCGTATAGGCCGAAAGATTGAGAATGAATGTTGCAGATAGCGGACTCCGGAGGCCATTGTTTTTGCCTTTATAGTGCTCCAACAAACAGGGAGGGACGAAGGATATGCTTCTGCTTCTTTGTTAATCTCGACTCCATAATCAAAAGAGTTCAGGGAATTAGTAAATTCCACTCTGATTGACTTGATAATATAATAATATTGCTAACAACCTAAATAACAAAACAAAACATATACATTAAAGGGTCGGCTTCCCAAGATGTAGTGAATTAGAGTAGCAAATTAACGACTCTTTCTTGTGCAGTTGAAAGCAGCAATACCCCCAACACCTCAAACTGACCAACTGCTTCTGACCTTAGTAGGCGAATGGGAATTATAACCACAACTCATCCACTGTCAACTAGTTGGGCTACGCAACTAGTTTTGGTAAGATGTCCATTTCAGAAAGAAACAACGACTGTTGACTAATCAAGGGCAATCTAAACCAAGCTCTCCTAATCCGTAGAACTTTCTCTGATGATTAGAAATTGGTTTGGTTTAGGAGAAATTCTCTGTCGCTATAACACAGAATACATGTGACGTAATATCTTCAATTAATTTTTTTTTTATAAAAAAACTAACACTTCAACATGAGATTTTGGTACATCTCAACATGACTCACCAACATAAGACCCAGAAGCTTTACAGGCTCAATTTTCTATAAATTAGAAACTCTCCAGACGTATAATATAAGATATTACATCATATATATCTAACTAATAATACAGTTTCTCCTAGTTTAGGAATCAACGCCGGGTTCATAGAAATGATTAGCAACCCAATGTACACTTGCGTATTGACTCTCCCAGTCTTTGTACCTTATCGGAAACCGCAAATTAATTCTACCGTTGTAAATTTAGGTTTCGTGTTTGAGTTACATAGAATTTTATAAAAAAATATTAATTTATTATAATTAAATAAATTTTAATTAATATTTTATATAATTTCATAATTATATTAATATATGACTTTTTTAAAATAATTAAATCACATGACTTCATAATAGTATCAAACGCAACCCTAAGTCTTTCATCCTAAATGGGTAAAGACAAGCTTCTATAACCATAATCACAAAGCTTCTACTTTCAGACTATTCTTCGAGAAAAACGGATAAATTACACTGGTAGGCACTCGTCCACCAAAAATGTTGAAAATCACTACACATGGACCATCCACCATGGATTCATTTAGAAGTAACCTCAAGAAAATAATAATAAAAATAATAATAAATTCTATCAATCATCATAATGATTTCACAATCACCATTTGCAGCAAGCACGCGTGCTTGATTCAAGCTGCACTGATCAAATAATGGTCGCTGGCAACGCAAAAGAAACGTTGGCACAGAAAAATGCAGCTAAGAATCCTTATTTTGCAATCCAAACTGTATTATATTGCAAAACATAAACTATTGAACGAGAGAAAAGCTTTCGATATCATAGATCCACCCTCATTAAATAATTTAAGCTGTGCAGTCTGAACTACACAACGCTTTTTAGATGCAGCTAAAGTGTTTTAACACTCAATAAGAAAACAAAAAAGAAAAAGAAAAAGAGAGTATCTTATCTGAAGCACATGCTTCCTGAAAATTCAAGGAACTACTTGAGGCTGACAGCATACTGCACTGGTAACACGACCCGAATAATTTACAGACTAAATGAATGGCAGTTCCAAGGCATTTTTTAAATTGCACGAAACTTGAAAGAATAATTAGATAGAAGAAATTACAATCTTGAAGATAAGTGAAATGCGAAGAAAATGCAGGCAGGATTCGTTTAGTTACAAACCTGTTTATACCGTATTTTCTCTCCCTAAATTAGCTGAATGTTTCATCAAATGCTAATGGAAGAAACCAACATAACATACAAATACAACAAACTCAAAAACAGTAAGAACCACATATAATTATTAGTCACATTAGATACATCACACAAACCTAACCAGTTAATTTTGGCACTAGAACCCTATTTCATTGTACGGAATCTACGCACTTACTCAGCTCCTCCAGCTTCTTCATCCTCAACTTCTCACTTTCACCCACCAGCTGTTAATTCAATAAAAAGAGATAATATCAGGCACCACAATCAAGAACCCCACATCTAATTCTAATTCCATGTACATCTTTCAATTAAAGCAACAGAGTATAAAACTAACCTCCATTAATTTGGTGATTAGTTGTACTTTTTCCTTGTTCTTTTCATTAAACGCATCCAGGGCTTCTTTGTATTCCCTTTCCTGTGAGAAAAGACAACCCCAGGTTTAGCAATCCTAATTCAAACCGTCATAGGAATAGAGAAGGTCACTAAGCCTCATATTTTTCGTTAAAACTTCACCTTTTTCTGGCAGGTATGCCCTAGTGGCTTCAATTCTTTGTTTATTGCATCGATCTTCTTCCGAACCAGCGAAACCTCTTTCCTCAGGGGATCTGAAAGTCCTTCAAGCTCCTGATGAATTTTCACAGTTTCATTTCAAATCCAGAAATGGTAATTAGAAAATAATGATGCTTAAATCCAGAACAAATAAACAAATATTTGAAGAAATCAAGCTCCTTTTTCCAGAAAGTCCTGGTAAACTCTACACACAGCTTTGACTGGTTCAATCTACAAAACACCTCAATGTAAGGAACCTTTGATCTGTTGATCAAAGTTTCTTCTGTCGGAAAGAGACAAAGCCCAAAATTAACTTACAAATTTTTTCTTAAATTAGAAAGATTAACAATAATTCTGACAAACCAAAAAACCATAATTTCTTGAAAAATTAAAAGAATTTTTACCCTTTTTCTTTCTTTAGAAATGAAAATTGTTTCTTTTTACCCAGATCGTGAATTTAAGAATAACCCAATTTTCACTGACTGAAATAATCACTGAAAAATGAGAAGTTATTACTTCCAATTAAAGAAAACCCTAGTCAAAATCAGGATGCCCGAGATTTTTTTTTACCTTGAAAAAGACATGGGATAAGTAAAGTTCTTGCAACAAACCTCACGAATCATGGCCAACCGCTTCGTTTCCTCCTCGAAGCGGCCCAACTGAAGCTGAACCTTGTCTCTGACCTCCAACTTCTTCTTTTCAATCTCCTCTTCCTTGGCTTTAAAGGTAGAAAGAGCAGACCTTGAGATCTCCTCATCTTCCTTGGAGAGATGGCTGCTAAAGCTGAGGTTGCCGGAATTTTGGGCCATTAACTGGTTCAGTGGCTGTGGCTGCGGCTGCTGCTCCGTCGGCATCATCTTGGATTCTTACTTACTCCTTCACAGAAAGGAAAACCTTTTTTTTTCCCCTTTTTTTAGTGCATGAAAGTTCGGGGGCTTCGCTACTTATACAAAAGAATGTTGAACCTTTAATTAAGACAAAAAGTGCATATTAGCCCCTCTAGTTACAATTCTGTAGAAAATTTGCCTTCTACCTTTCTTTTCTAGAAAATGAACTCTTAACTTTTCAAGTTCCGCAAATTAGCTCTTATTTAAGGTCAGACATTAGCCATACACGTATATTCATCCTAACAAATAGCCTCAAAAGAAACATGGATAAATAGTAAGCTCTATTATGCTCTCATGTTTGTAGTGAGTAATTATTCTAATATTACGTGTCATAACTTGTATATATCATTATATTAATATAAGAATTTTTTAAATTGAAATTTAACTCAAATTGTTTGTATCAATTATTATTTTATATTATTTCTCAATTTACTATTATAGTATTGTTCCCATCAAATGTTTTAAGAAAAAAAAAAAAAGCCAGTAATTTCTTACCAAATGTATAACATATTAATATTATGTTACCAAAATTGTGTACCAAAAGGACAACTCGTGTTACATAAATGGATTATCTTGACAAGATTTTTGTTAGGTCGGTGGAAGGGCGCGCAACTCCAATCAATTTTTGCTTGTTTCATCCACATCAAGTGACTGACACAAGCACCCTTTGTTAATTAACAAAATAACAATATTAGCATATAAACATCAAAATAATTATCAAACCCTTTCTTCATCCATGCATGAATTTATTTAGCATTGTAGTTAGCCTGCATGTCCCATGGTGGTGTGACTAAAATGATTCGGAAAATAAATGTAGTTAATTAGTAGTAGTAGGAAGTTTGTGTGGTATGGGTGAATTCTTCATCCTGATAATGATGTTTTGACCAAGGTTGTTAAAATCAAGATTTTAAATAAAATCATTTTCGTAAGATAAAATCAAAATCATAAAATCAAATTAGTAAAATTGAGAGTTTACTAAATTAATTTAAAATTTATATATTATTAAAATTTAACATCAAGTGTTTAAATTTAAAATTTATCTAATAAACTTTATTACTAATTAATTATTTCAA